GGTATACGTACGACATAGAAGCTTATGCTCAAATAAATGTGTTAGTCTCTAAGGTGCCACAAGTACTCCTGTTCTTTTTGCATGACCTTCATTGTCACTTATCTTGAAGAAACAGCTGCCACATATGGATGTGCAAGTTCTGTAACTGACCTTCACAGCTATTTGGCAAACTGCTTATTGGAAGGAAGATTCCAGCACTACACACTTATACCACATTCTGAAGCTATTTCTTTTGTATAATAGGATATCCTGTGAACTGTTCACATTTGGACTGTAAGAGTAAAGTAAAGCTGAGCGGTTCTATGCAAAATGAATTGTGAGTGAGAACCTATACAATACAAATTAAAGTAACCTCAGGGCTACAGAGAAAATTATTCAAACCCACCAACATGATGTTATAAAAATCCAGTGTAACTATAAAATATGGCTTCCAGAAAACTAATGGCATACAGCAGTGCATTTCTGTGAACTCATCCTGCTAGCAAGGGTTAGGACCCTTCATAAAGCTGCTTATGTTCTGCTGACTCATTGTGGCAGGTGCTGCTCCATAATTCCACCTTGAAAACAAGGGAAGTGGGAGTAGTTCTTTGGGGAGAAGGAAACTGGGTCCTTGGACTGAGGAAGTCCTGGAGGGACAGCCAAATTCAGTCTGAAATATATTTGTGGTGTTGTTTCTGAGAGCCCAGTAAAGGTCCTGGGAGAGGTGAGAGTCTGAACACAAAGACAGAGTGTTTGTGCGCTGAGAATGGGCTGGGGTTCAGTCTATTCACACAGGTTAGCCTGTGTCAGACTGATTTATGTAACTTTTCCCCAGGTAGTGCTCTGGAACCAGCAATTTCCCAGTCAAAAAATAATTTTCCCTATTTGGATTTTAATAGTAATATTAAAATATTTTTATTGGTTAAAGGACACATCATTCAAAAGAATTTCTGAAAAGCTATACTTTGCTTATTTCAACATCAGGCCTTAGTGTCTGGATGAGTTTGCATAGCCAGCTGTATTAGCAATGGAGAAGTCAAATCCCAATAGTTTGCAATGGCTGTTTACATGGATGCTAAATAGAGAATGCAACCTTTGGGTTTAAAATGGCAACTCTCTTTTGTGAAGAGTTGGTAAATACATTTTTAAAAAATGTTTTCTGGCTGGGTGGATAAAAATCAAGTATTTTTAAAACAAAAACAAAAACATCATTTTTTTATTTAAATTAAATAGGTTTTATATTAAAGAAATACATTTAAAATTAAGGACTAAAACTTACTTTAATCTATAAAAATCACCTAAATTAAATAAAATTAATTTTCAAGCAGTATATGTTTACTGTCAATGTTTTAAAGAAAGTAGAAGCAATGAACAGATGGAAGTCACTGTTTAAGCATTTGGAACCAGGGTTTGTTGAAGTGCTAAACCAGCTTTTGATAGCAGTAGCCTCTTTCACAGGTACAGAGAGAATGTTTTCTTCATTTCAGTTTATCCAACTAGTTCAGTCCAATGACTAGTTCATTCAAATGTGAGGAACTGATTGGGAGTTGAAAAAGCAAGAAACCTTGTTTTTCTTTTCCAATTTATGAACAAAAACTAGGTGTGAGGGGATAAAATCTGATAATTCTACAATCTTGAAGGACATGGTGACCAGAAACAATCAGTTCAGTTCACTAAGTACACATATTTTCTTTGTTTAATAAATCAGTTAGTTTTAAGTGCAAAACATGTTTTGATAAACTTTTTTTCTTATTTATCCGGCATATTTAAGGTAGTTTTATTTAACTAATAAAAAATTAAAATGCTGTTTTTGTGCATCCAAAGGAATATGACTCAAATCATGAGTAAAAAATGTAATCATCTAGTAAATAAGAAATGTCATTAATCATTTTCTAACATAATAAAAAAGTAAAAAATGAAGAATCTGAATAAATGTAAATTAAGCTATATTACTGCTTAAATAAATATAATCAATATACTGTATCTTCTGGGATAGCAAAAAGATGTACTCAATTTAGTGTGCAATCTATATTTACTTGTAAAACAACATGTTTTAATGGTTACCAACTAGAGAATCAACCTTTCTTTAGGAAAAAACTAAAAACAATACATACAAAATAAGATTAAAATTGATTATTTAAATCAAAGTTTCCTGTTTGATCGTTTAAATCATAATTAAAATTGGTGATTTAAATTACTTTGATTTAAATCTATCCACTCTGGTTTCCAGTCATTCTTTTGGCAGGGCCAATTATTTAAGTTGTGTAAGCCTTACTTCATTTATTATGTAACTGTGATATTTTCATAGTTTTGCAAATTATTTGCCAATGACCCTTTAGAGATCCAAAACTAACTACCATGTAAGCTATACTTGTGTTAACACTGAAATAATCATGTATTCAGTATTGCCCTCTAATTATATAGTACTTAATTTTTAATTAAATGGTCAACAGTTGTATAAGTAAAGAATATTCACGTGACATTTGTACACAATAAGAGTTTCCTATCTATTATCAAGTATTTCATGTACTTGTATCATACCTTATTTAATATATCTTCAGTTTTTTTATCAGGCACATAATGCCTGTTTAGTTTTAGGAAGTTACTAGATTGAGCTTTCCTGGGAATAAAAGCATTGTTAAATGCAGAATGGTTTAATGCAAGATTTTTTTCAGGAAGCTGCTGCTAGTGTTTAGAATTTAAAATTTCCCTCTTTTCCTTCAAACTGTGCTGCTATGCAGGCAACAGTTCTTCTCAGTCGAACAAAACAACAACAGGAATATTATGGAGGCACCAATTGCAGCAGAGTTAAGGATAAGCTGAGTTTAATACTTTAACCTCTGTTGTGTATGAACAATATTGTGTATCTTTCCTAAAATTGCAGCACATACTCTTTAAGTATAGAATGAATTTTCTGCAAGTTTACAAGTAAACCCATTAATTATTTATTTTTTAATAAATTTTAAAAATGGTCTTTTAAGAAATTAAGCATAGTATCAGACCTCCATTTTTGTTTGTTTGCATGTTTCCTAATAATCAGACATAATGGAACAACACAGATTCTTCCAACTTCCCATATAATTAAAACATATGCTATCTCTGGAAGCTGGAGCCTTGTCCTCTATTTGAATGCTTAAGCATCTATGCATCAATATAGGATGTTTTCTGAGAGAGAGCAGTATTCTATGTAACCATACTTGGTCAACAAACTTTCCCAACCCTCAACAAATCAAATAAAAACTGTGTCCTCTTATTACAGCTTGCTGTGTTTCCTCCCCACCCCCTTTTCCCTGCTTTCTGCCAGTGGCAGCATTTATCCCAGGGAGGTCCCTTGCAAAGCTCAATTCTGGGGCCCCTGCTTTTGCAGAGGACACCATTTTGCTCTACAAAATGGTATCCTCCATGCAGCACGACCTCCCATGCAGTGTGTGCAAGGTCACACCACATGGAAGATACCATTTTTTAGAGCAAAGTTGCATTCTCCAGACAGGTGGAGTGTGTTCTGGCTCCACTGCAACTGTGTTTGTTACCAGGGAAAAGTAACTGAGTCACCATATTGCTGCCCCTCCTCACTGCCTTGGGGACCCCTACAATTGTATGAGTTGTAGGTATTTAATGCCCACCGATGCTTTCTCCTAAGGCCAAACTGCATTGTTCACTGTCACACCATACAATTCAAATTTACTATAGTTGGGTTTAATAGGGATTGGTGACAGGAAGGAACTGCTCGATTCTACTTGCAAATGTTTGCTTTGTTTCCCTCAGAAAGGAAGCTTAGATATTTTGTGGTCCCTGGTAGTTAATTAGTAGGATTTGGAGCAATTCAGGGCAGTTGGTGGAGAAACTAAAGTACAGTTGGGCACATGCACAGTTCAGTCTAACATCTATAAACGAACTCATTCCCAGATGGAGAATGACCCTTTCATCCAGAGGGCCATGTACTTACTGTTGTCACTCTTCACACAGAACTCCCACAGATGACAGTAAGAATTGCCTGTGGGAATGAGGGCCACATATGAATTATGATTAAATATTCCAAGTATTTCCCTCTTCCTTTGTTTTTTGTACAGTTTGGATAAGAAATTATAAATTATAGTTCAAACTTACCTAATGAAGATATCAAAGTGGCATATCATGCCTGTTGATGAAAGGGTAACTCCTGTTTCCAGATCATCTTTATGTTAGCAGCTTAGAGTATAATTTGCAGAATAAAATGTAATTAATTTCTTCAAAGCAAATGTGATAATTAGAGACTCATTGTAAAATAATAATAATGTTAGTTAATGATACTAATGCCCAAAAGATTAAAAACATTTGTTTTATCAGTTAAAGAAGAAGGTACCTGATGCAGCATGATTTGTTGTTTGAAAAGGGAGATGGGAGTTAAGTCAGAACCACAATATTAATGGATTTGTATGGGTGGGCATAAGGCTAATATATTCAGTGTTGTACATTTTTATGGTTTCATAAACAGTAATATTAGCAACATTTCAAAGGAAGTATGAGAAAGAGTGCTCATATGGGATGGCATAAACTCTGTGTTTTTTATAGAACACTGTTACTCCAGATACAGCCTACAGGATGTGACTTTTCATAAAACCTAATGAATTTCTAGATTTGTCAGCTGTTTCAACACAGATGCACTTTGCTAATCTCATGGAAATATTTTGATGCCAGATCTAAAATATCAATAGCTTTTAATATTGCAAGTTTGTTTGGCTATTTTGTAAATGGGGCTGTGGGTCTTGATAAAAAGTAGCAAGTAATTTTGTACAGGTTTTATGTTTAGCTGCCTCTCCCACATTTGATGCTCATATTTTTTTCCTTGCAGAGTTTTAAGTTGAATGTAGATAGCCACTGTGCTTTAAAAGAAGCTGTGGTAGAAGAAGGATGTCAACTTCTTGAGCTTATTGTATCTCACAAATCAGGTAAATCTTTCTGAAATATTGCAAGTCTTTATGTCTCCAGACTATTAAAGAATGAAGAAGCATTGCTGTAAATTACTGCATATATTCACTTCCTTATGTATTATTAATATTTACATTATCAGATTGACCTTCAAGATTTATAAATGTTTCATATACTGCTTACAATGCTGTGATACTTATAAAATGAAATACTACCTCAACTAGTCTGTTCATTTTATTTTGGTCTTGCTGCTCAGCTGAGTTTCAATTGAAATCACATCACTGAAAACTTCACACTGACATGTTCTTTGATATAGGTGCTATGGAAATAACATTAAGATAATGAATTAGGATTTCATATATATATTCTGCACAGGTAATTGCATTGGTAAAGATGGGGGGGTTCTTTTTCTTTTCTTTTTTTGTTACTTACATAAACTAATTCTTACCTCAGTTTTAATTTATTAGCAAAGTACTTTAAAAAATTGTTATTTCCTTTGATTATGCTTGTCTTTTTCTGCAAAGGACTTAAATCTGAGTGCATAATTATATAATATTTTAGATGTCAGCATGACTAGCTTAATAGTAGTATGCTATACTTTACTACTGGGGATTGGTGTCTTAATTTTGGCCCACTTTCATCCAATTTGCAGTTGTCCTTTTATTTACATTTTTCTGGTCATTACAGCTGTTGTTCCACAATCTACACCTACTTCATGAGAGCCTCAGACAGAATTTCTTTAATGCAAAACCTATAGTAAATCAGTGAGTTACTGGTATAATTCCCAGGGGGTGGAGAAGCCACAGCAAAGGTCTCAAAGCTGTACACTGAGATAAATTGTGTATGTTGCAGTATGTTTAGAAAATAATAATTTAAACCACAGAAAATATACAAAGGAGTGGGAGGGATGAAATATTACATCCTGCTAGGAAGTTATTGAATGTTTAGAGCCAGGGAAGAGATAACTAGAGGGGGGAGTTTCCTGGGCTTTCCCCACTACATATAAATCACTGGTTCTGTGACATTTTATTTTCCTTTAAATTCTGAGCTGAGGTATAATTAAAATGTAACATTCTGGCTCATTATGGGCTAAAAGAGATGCTATGACCATATAGTGTTGTAGTTCCTGGCCTCATTTTCTGAATATACTGAAATATTTGCTGTGTTTTTTCTTTTAAATTTCCTGATAACCAATTGTATAAAGATGTAGCTGAGTTTACAACTTTCATTTTTTTTTTGCATCCTCATTTTGGAGAAGGACTGAAGGACATGCTGCAGATGATTGCAAGTCAGTGGAAGGAACTACAGAGGCAAATCAAACGACAACACAGCTGGATTCTTAGGGCTCTGGATATCATCAAAGCAGAGATACTGGCTACTGATGTGTCTGCAGAGGATGAGGAAGGGACTGGGAGCCCCAAGGTAAGTGGCTTGAAGTTTGCCTTATTTCCTCTTATTTCCATCTTCTTTTGAACTAGGCACCACTGAAGTTTTCTTTCCACCCTAAGGCTTTTTCATTTCTACTGGGTAAACTTTTTCTTTTTTATAAACAAAATGAAATGTCTTACTCTGAAACAATAATAAAAAAAAAAGCTTAAAACTTTCAACTTTTCCAAGAAGACCTCTTTCACAGTGTGTAAGGGACTGTGAAGGGGCAGGAAAGGGACATAAAACATTTAGTAAACAAAACATAAGGCATCTTTAACATGAATAATCAGAATGGTTTTAAATTGTTTTGTTGCAACTATAAATCACTATAATCAGTGCAATCACTCAGCTCTGACATCCATTAGCCGCTTGGTTACAGCAAATTAACAAAGAAGAGAGAAAGTGATTCATTATCTCATTCCTGTTAATGACTATCAGATGCATTGCCTAATTAGAGGATGGCCATTGTAGTGGGAAGAAGGTCATATGCTTTGCCACAAATCTTTTTGCTCTGGTTTAAGCCTGCCATAATAGTGCATGCATTGAATACAACATGTACTTCAAAAACAAAGTATTGACATCTGTAATCATTTGGTGTGCATAGGGTCACCAGATGTCCCAATTTTATAGGGAAAATCCTGATTTTGGGATCTTTTTCTTATATAGGCTCCTATTACCTCCTACCCCATCCCGATTTTTCACACTTGCTGTCTGGTCATCCTAGGTGTGCAATAGTTATCCAGGATTGCTATACTATTTACCAGTCGCCCAATGTGATACTTGCAAGAGTAGTTTAAACAACACAAACTCATCCAAATCATGCCATAGGTTCAGTGGTGTTATCAACAACAAAAATGGATTTATTTTTGGAGCCACATTGATTCTTCCATTTGCAATTCGCAGATAAGTCCAGTACCTTCAGCACCAGCATATGGGAGACTCCAATTTATAGAAAAATTCAAGGTTCCTGCTTCCAGAGATGTTTTATAAATTAGTTTCTTGGATTCTCATGCTAGGAGAACAAGTTGTGGTGGGGTTTGCCATTTTCTAAGGACCACTCTCTGAAATGGTGTTTGGTGTCACCTGTGAATTAAGTTAAATGTCCAGCTCCTATTACCTGGCCATAGATGTGAACTCTGGGAAGGATCTTAGAGATGATGGAGGAGTCATCAAGAGTAACAGTGTAACAAGAGTGAATGAACAAACCTAAATACCCAGACTCAAACGGATCTAATATCCTGAGTCACGGACTTGGTTAGAAGAGCTTCAACGTCATATGGCCTTTTCTAGGGTAGTGGGCAGTGGAGCAAAACTTGATTTTGTGATTCAGTCCATTAAAATACACAGCCTAGCTAAGAGTTAAAAGTTTTCACCTTCTGTAATATCACTGTGTACTGGATAATATTCCCACATTAATTTCACTGCATTATCTCTGAACAGATTGATTCATCCATGGCCAAAGGCTAAATGCTTAACCAAAATTAAAATGTAAGAAAAACTGTTTAAAAATTCTGCTTAATTTTACTACGGAGAACCTAAGTCTAGAGGGACAGAGTTAAAATATTTTATTGGGAGACTCAGAGACCTAACTTAAACTGATCATGTATCCTTAATTATTTTTATGGCGAAGTAACAGTTCTTTCCCATCATGTGGGAAATGGAAAACTCAGAGAAATTCTTCCTTATAGGTGGTTCCCCCACCATTAAAAACAAACAACCAAAAACAGCACCACAAAGACACTAGTTGGAGGCTGTTTCTTACATTGTCACCACCGCATAGGATGTGACCTTGTAATGTATAACAGGCAAATACTGTGGTGAAATGCATATCTCTAAATAGTTCTGATCATCTAGTGCTTTGGGCTGAAGGATTAATTAAAAATAAAACATAATGGGAAATATAACTCTAGATTTCAGTTTACATTTACTTCAGAAGCCACGGGGAACCTGAGAAGCATAATAGAGAATCTAAGGAATATATCTAGGGGGTATTTTTCTTTTTTTACCTTGTTTGAGAGACTGCAGGAAAGGAGTTGGTCTTTGAAATTCTTCCTATTTCTGTTTCTTTACAGATTTCTAAGACTCTAGGAAACTTTTCCCCTAGGACTTTTTAAAAGTGTTTTCCCAATACTATGGCATCTTTTATAGAAGCAAACAGAGAGAGGGAAGGAAAGAGGGAAGCTGCTGTTCTAGAAATGTATCTTCGGCACACTCACATTCAGGAATTCTATTTTGCTTATGAGATTATATATTGTATTGTATGGAAGTTTTGTAATAGTTTATAACCTGAAACACAGCTTTGGTATATTCAATTCTGAATACTGTGGAGGAGTTGAGGGATTTCAAAATGTTATTAATACCTAACTTCTTACAGTGCAGTGCATTCTCTCCCTGACCTTTTACCATGGAAATAAAAACTAAAAACAGGAAAGGAATACTTAAAGCTCACTTACAAATGTGTTGAAGTCTCTAACATTAACCAGGGTCCTTAGTAGTAATTGGTAGTTTGTGATTTTTAGAATAACCATACAGCTAGTATATCAAGCATAAATTTGAGTATATTTTTTGTTTTTTATCCATAGAGAAGTACATTTAAAGAAAAACGGAATCACCTCATGTTTTTCAGTTTAAGAAGTTTCATTGTGTAATGTTACTACTGATAAATGTAACATACAGTTCATCTATTCTAATTCAGGCTATTAGACATATAAAGTAATAATTGTTTTTCTCCTCCTGATTGAAGCTGCTATTAGAGGTATACTAAAGTAATTAGAAGTGAGGGGTGTATGTTTATATTTATTTGTTTTCCCACTTTGGGAAATGTCTGAGATGCCTGCTTTTTAACTAGCCCTTTTTAAGTTCCTGTGAGTTCCACCATATTTTCAGCAGAAAAGGACTAGATAGGACTTACATTGGTGCAGTGTTGCTCCTCAGTCAACAAGAGGGATTATTTTTGAGCAATAATGTATGAAGTATTTTGTCCCCTACTGGCTATGTGACTACTTCAGAAATCTGAAAAAATTCAAGGGTCATGGTAGATAATCAGTAGAACATGAGCTTGCAGTATGATTCTGTGGCCAAAAGGGCTAATGCAATCTTCAGATGTATAAACAGGGGAATATCAAGTCAAGAGAGGTTATTTTACCTCTGTATTTGGCACTGGTGCAACTGCTGCTAGAATACTGTGTCCTGTTTTGGTATCCACAGTTCAAGAAGGTTATTAATAAATTGCACAGCATTCAGAGAAGAGCCACAAGAATAATGAAAGGATTAGAAAATATGCCTTACAGTGATAGACACAAGGAGTTCTATCTACTTAGGTTAACAAAGAGAAGGTTAAAGGGTGACTTCATCACAGTTTAGGAGTTCCTACATGAGGAACGAATATTTGATGATGAGGTATTCAGTGTATCAGAGAAAAGTATAACAAGATCCAGTGGCAGAAAGTTGAAGCTAGATAAATTCAGACTGGTAATAAGGTGTACATTTTTAACAGTGAGGGTAGTTAACTATTGGAACAATTTACCAAGGGTCATGGTGAATTCTACATTACTGGAAATCTTTAAATCAAGATTGGATTTTTTTAATATGCACTAGTTCAAAAGGAATTATTTGGAGGCAGTTCTGTGGCTTGTGTTATACAGAAGGTCAGACTAGATGATCATAATAGTCCCTTCTCACCTTGGAATCTGAGTGTAAATACTCCCATGTTATGTATTTATTTTAATTCTGCTCCTAGATGGAATTTCACTATCTGCAGAAGTGTCTAGTAGATTGTAATTACCTTCCTTGAAAAGAGGATACAAATCCTAATACTCACAGATAATGGATATTCCCCTTTTGCCTGAGGGTTAGAAGACTATATTCTTAAAACAGGTTGTTAGTTCTGTTCCCAATACTTCACAGGTTCAGTAAACCAATGATGATGATGTCTATATGTGTGTGTGTAGCCAGTGATTGCTAGGACTCACATTTTTGTGTCCTGCATAGTAATGCAGAGCAAAACCATTGGAAGCCAAGGACTAGGTAAGGTAGTCATTTAAACAGACGTAGGATGTAGCATATTCCAGGAATATATCTGTTGTCTTCACCTTTAATGATGTTTCTCTTAAGAATTAATAGTTGTTATAATTAATTTTTAATTTCCATTTTTTAAAAAAAGCAAAACACATAAAAGTTAAGTTCTTATGAGAAATCCACCTGATCATGAAGCATTTCAGATAGATGGGCCTAATAGTTAGAATGTTGAGACCTATCTTGATTTTTTTAGGCAATAGAGATATGCAGTCTTGCAAGAACTGTCTAATCCAGTGGTTTTCAAACTGCAGGTCACGACCCAGTACTGGTTGCGGAATGTAAAGCACTGGGTTGCGGCAGCTCTGGTCAGCACCAGGCTGTTAAAAGTCCCGTCGGTGGTCCTGCCCAGCTAAGGCAGGCTAGTTCCTACCTGTTCTGACACCGTGCTGCACCCCGGAAGTGGCCAGCAGCAGGTCCGGCTCTTAGGCAGGGGGACCACAGGGCTCTGCGCGCTGCCCCCACCCTGAGCACTGGCTCTGCACTCCCATTGGCTGGGAACCCGCCAGTGGAAGCTGGGGGCAGGCGGTGTCTGCGGGCGAGAGCCACACGGAGCCACTTGTGAGCCTCCACTTAGGAGCCGGACCTGCTGCTGGCTGCTTCCGGGGCGCAGCGCGGTTCGCAGTGCCATGACAGGCAGGAAGGAAGCCTGCCTTAGCACCGGCGCTGACCCTGAGCCATTCGAGGTAAGCCAGGCCCCAAACTTGCACCCCAACCCCTGGCCCAGCCCTGAGCCCCCCCCAAACCTGTAGCCCCTTCCTGTGCACCCCAAACCTCTCCTCCCCAGCCCCACCCCAGAGCCTGCACCCCCAGCCCGGAGCCCTGACCCCCACCACACCCCAACCCCCTGCCCCAGCCATGAGCCCCCCAAACCCGCAACCCCCTCCTGTAGCCCAAACCACTCATCCCTGGCCCCACCC